CCCATGGTAAAATGACCTAAATAAACAAACCAGGTGAACATCAGATCATTTTTAAGGCAAAAAAAAAAGATGTGGCCTAAAAAATTCGTTTTGGAAAAGTTAGGTCATCAAGCCCAGANGGCNNANNACCCTCCTTCCCTTCTTTATGCTAATTTTTTTTTCAATTTTTAAAAATCAAAATTCCCATTTATTCAGCCGAAAACACTGATCTTCCTCGAAAAGCCGATATTTACCCATCAAAAATTTCTTTTGTGCATAATTGCGTCACGGTGTATGTTCACCCCTTCTGCGTATCTCGCGCCACACCTGACGCCCAAAGCGGAAAATTGTTTTTTTTTTGGCTAATTGAACTTGATTTTTTGAAGTTTTTTGCTCAAACTTCTGGTTTTTTTGCTCAAATTTTGAAATTTCAGCTGAAAATCTTCAAATTATTCCAGAAAAATTCGCCGAAATGTCGTCAGACACCGACGACGACGCTAGCGATTTGAAGCAGGTAAAAATCGATATTTTCAGAGCTTTCTAGTATTATTTTTGTTTTAAAACCCATTTTTTCATATAAAAAAAAGCGATTTTAAAGCCAAAAAAAGCAGTAAACAAGCTAAAAAATCAATAAATCCTTTTTTGCAGTTCGACTACACTGCCTACCGTAATCTCTACACTTATCACGCCCACACGCTATCAAAGACGCTCCACCGTGATCGAGAATCGCAAGCGAGGCTTCGAGAATTTCGAAGTTTGGCGTCAAAAACCGAAATTCGAAATTTCGAAAATTCCGAGATTCTAGTGGCTTCTGAAGATGTGACGCCTTCTGAAATCGTGTTAGAATTGAATGGATTGGTTGGAACGATTCAGGATAGGATTGAGAGGACTCCCACGCTTTTCCGGACTGATTTATTGGTAGAAAATCGATTTTTCAAAAAAAAAATCAATTATCGATTTTCTGACCCAAAAATTAACGATTTTTAGCATAAAAATTATCGATTTTCTGACCCTAATTTGATTACAAAAAATCGATAATCGATTTTTCCCAAAAATCAATATTTCAGGACACCCCATTGCTCATCCTAACGTCGACTGGATTCCACGGTCCCGCCTACGTCATCAGAAGGTCGTCCCACCCGAATTGTCATCTGGAGCACGTCATCTGTCATCTGGAGCCCATCGCATGGATTCTGAGGGCCCGAAAATCGATTACACGTGGCACCGAGATTACTGTAGCTTTTGATTTTCCTCCCGAGAGGATTACTGTAGATAGGCCACGCCCAGAAGTCATCAGAAGGCGTACGGTAGATGGATATGTCAATGTGAAAGCTAGAGAGAGAATGGTGAGAGATTGCTCAGCTTAAAAATTGCAAATTTCAGCGAAAATTTGAGATTGCTCAACATAAAAATCGGTATTTTCATCACAAAATGGATTTTAAAGCAAAATTTTGAGCTATTGCTCAGCTTAAAATTTTTCGAAAAAATCACAATTTTGAGCCAAAAAATCGATATTGCTCAGCTTAAAAATTGCAGCCCCCATCTCCCACGTCTTCTGAATCTGAATCTCTTGACGCCAACACCACGACATCCGGGTCTTCTGACTCCTTTACGTCTTCTGACTCTCCGTCTATGTCTCCGCGGGTCCCGATGTCCTCCTCGGCTCCTTTGAAGAGAATTCGAACGGAAAATGGATGGAAAACGCTTCCAGCAAAGGAAAAAGTATTGATTTATTGATTTTTGGGATTTTCAGAAAAATCGATAATCGATTTTTTCAGATTCTCAAAAAATCCACGTCATCTGAGAATCCGAAGAAAAAGAAGAAAAAATCCGGGGGACGTTGGGGAGCAGGTTGGACGACGAAAACGAAAAAACGAAAAGTGTGCGGAGCCAAAACTACAGTATCCCCGAAAATCCCAAAATTGGATTCTGAATCCATCGTCACGTCTTCGGAATCGAAAAATGGGGATTCTGGAAAGTTGACGTCTTCTGAAGCACAGGAAATGGATTCTAGTGCAATTCTGACGTCGTCCGACTCCTCAAAAGTCAAAAATTCAGGAGCAACGTCGCCTGAAGCGATTCTGGCGTCTTCTGCCTCCAAAAAAGTTGTATACTCGATTCTGACGTCTTCTGAATCCCAGAAAATGAATCCTGAAAACTTAAATCCCAATATGACGTCTTCAGAAGCCCAAAAAATCGATAATTTGGATTTTGAAAATTCAGAATTCCAAAAATTGACGTCTTCAGATTCAGATGAGGTGGGGTTCCTAGATTTTTCAGCACGAAAAAACGCTGAAAATCGGCGATTTTCAGACCCAAAAATCGGAAAAATCGGTGTGTCCGCGTGTCCAGATGTCCTCCTCCTCCGCTCCTTTGAAAAGAATTCGAACTGAAAATGGATGGAAAACGCTTTCAGCAAAGGAAAAATTATTGATTTTTAGAGAATTTTCAGACTGGAAAATTCTGGAAATTTTGGTTCAGAAAATTTTTCGAAAAATCAATAATTTCGAATTTTTCGGTTTTTTTTTTGGCTGGAATTTTGAAATTTTTTGAAATTTACGAAAAATCGAAAAAATTAATTTTTGGCTGAAAATCTGAAAGATCTGAAAATTTTGATTTTTCAGAAAATTCCACCACCCAATCCACAAAAATCGATAAATCGAAAAAAGAAGAAGCCACGTCGTGAACCGTGGTCTTCTGGAGGCGGAAGGAAGAAGAAGGTACAGTAATCCGAAAAATTTTGAAAAAATTTTTTTTTCAGTATTCACCAGCGCTGAAAATAGCTGAAAGTTCGGATTCTGACGCCACGTCTTCTGAATTCAAAAAAATGATTTTCGAAGATTCTGAGGTCGTCGTCCCGTCTTCTGATGCTCCAGACGTTGCAAAGGAACATTCTGAGCCGTCTGGAGCACCTGCCACGTCATTTAGAGTTCCAGAAGTTGAAAAAACCATCGTTATGTCTTCTGGAGCACCTGCCACGTCATCTGAAGCCCTAGATGAAGAAGAAACTTCTGGAGCACCTGCCACGTCATCTGGAACTGGTGAATTTGAATTTCAATGTTCTGGAGAGCCTGTCACGTCTTCTGAATCACAAAAATTTAAAAATCAAGATTCTGAAGTTGCCACGTCTTCTAAAGTTCGGGAATTCGGAATTGAGTATTCTGGAGAGCTTGGAGCATCTGTCACGTCTTCTAAAATGGAAATCGAGGATTCAGAAGCTCCAGAAGCATATTTGATATCATCTGATAGACAAGAAATGAGAAATTCTGATTCTGAAGGATGTCCGACGTCTTCTGAAACCCCAGTAGTCAAAATAGACGATTTAGAAGCTCCAGAAGCTAATTTGACGTTTTCTGAATTTCGAAAACTTCAAAATCAATACTCTGAATCTCCAGAAGACGTCGTCAAAATAGAAGACTATTCGGACGTCTCCATGGAATTCGGAGAAGCTGCTGATTTATTGATTTTTGCGGAAAATGAGGAGATGAGCAATGTAACGTCTTCTGGAGTTCCAGAGGAGGATTCTGACAGGACGTCTTCTGAAATTTCAGAATCTTCTGTCGCGCTTTTGAAGATTCTAGAAAATCATCAAATTCCGACATCGTCAGAAGATTCTGAAGTCCCGACGTCTTCTGAAATTTTCCAGGTACAGTAATCCCCGAAAGAAATTTTGCGAAAATTTTTTTTCAGAACCTACAGTCAACATTTTATCCGGAAATTACTGAAAATTTAGATTCAGAAGTTCCGACGTCTTCTGAAATTTTCCAGGTACAGTAATCCAAAAAAAATTTTTTATAATTTTTTTCAGAATTCACCAGCTCTGAAAATGGCTGAAAATTTGGATTCTGAACCAAAGGCCCTCGAAGATTCTGAATCCCGAAATCTGAAAATTCTAGAAAATTATCGAATTTCCACGTCTTCTGAAATTCCCAAAGTACAGTAACCCTAAAATTTTTTTTCATAAATTAGTTTTTTTTCAGAATTCACAAGCGCCGAAAATAGCTGAAAATGCACAATACAAAGTTGTAGAAGATTGCGACGAAATTTTCGAGGTACAGTAATCCCAAAAAAAATTTTCAAAAAAAAATTTTTTTTTCAGAATACCTACTCAGAAGATGTCATCGCGCTTCTGAAAACGTTGCACAAAAAAAATTCGAAAACTCAGAAAATCAGGAACTATCGCGCTCAGAATTTGAGAATTCGCCAATTTCGATTGATTCAGAATTCAGAAGACCCAGAAGACGTCAAGCTTCTAGCGTTATCAAACGTGAATCCTGGTACCATCCTTCTGGAGCTGATTGGCCACGTGGCATTGCTCACCGAGACTCCAGAAGACGAAAGAAGTGGAAAATGGATGTATACGGCGAATTTTTTGACGAAAAACGCCCAAAAAAGTGCATTTGGTGATCATCGATACCCAAAATCGATATTCTGTATCGATCCGATCAATGAGTGTCGATTTTTGAGACGTTCCTGTAAGCCGAACGCCCATTTTGAGTGAGTTTTTGAAGCTTAAAAATGCCCCCCTGAAAATGACTGAAAATAGGTCTGAAAATGGCCTGAAGATGACAGAAAAATTGGGCTGAAAATAGACTATAAATATCTGAAAATATGTCTAAAAATTGGCCTAAAAAATAGGCCGAAAAAGTGGCTTGAAAATGGTCTTAATAATAGGCTGAAAATGGCCTAAAAATAGACCGAAAAGGGGCGTAAAAATCACCTGAAACCAGCTGAAAAAGTGGCCTAAACTGGCCTGAAATGCCCTTCAAATATGCCTAACTATTGGCCTAAAAATTAGGCTAAAATTGTCCTGAGAATAGGCCTCAAAATAGGCCTCAAAAAACTAGTCTGAAATTAGGGCTAAAAACAGCCTAAAATAAGCCCTTAAAGTTGGGCCGAAAATGACCTAAAAATACTCTTAAAGTTTTGGCCTAAACGTGGCCTGAAATTTGTGCCCAAAAGTTGGTCTAAAAATAAGCCAATTTTTAGGCCATTTTTAGGCCATTTTTCAGGCATTCTCAGGCCGGTTTAAGGGCCTATTTCTAGGCGAAATTTTGGGGTGACTTTTCAGGCCAGTTTTTAGCTAGGCTAAAACAAATTTTCCAGCCACTTCATCGATTCCGAAGACGTGCTGCGAATCATCGTCACCGCAACGCATAGAATTCAAGAAAATTCGGAAATCACGCTGAAATTCGATCGGGATTTCGCAATCGACTCAAAACAGCCATTGAAATGTGAACTTCATCAAATTAACATGAGCAATTGTCCAGTCGAGCGAAAAAGACTGAGAAATTTGACATTGGAGCGCGATTTGGTAAGTGGCTGAACTTTTGCTTTTGGGGGTTTTCTAGGCCATCATGCATGACCCTGGCGGGTGTTCCAGGCCATTTTACCATAGTGGCCTAACTTTTGCAAAATAGAGTTTTCTAGGCCATGATGCTAAAATGGCTTAGAAACCCAACTAGGAGCTTGTTAGGGCATTTCTAGGCCACTTTGACATGGCGGCCTAGAAAACTCAAACTTGCAAAAGTTAGGCCACCACGGTAAATGGCCAAAAAATAGCCTAGCATGCACCCTGCTGTGTTTTCTAGGCCATTTTAATACCATTTTACCATGGTGGCCTAACTTTGAGTTTTCTAGGCCACCATGTTAAAATGACCTATGAATGACCCTGTGGGGTTTCTAGGCCATTTTAACATGGTGGCCTAGAAAGCCCCAACTTGCAAAAGCTAGGCCATCACGTCAATTTCAGCCTGCACTAAACTACAGTAATCCGAATCCGCAGCCGCAGTATCTTCTGGAGCACAATTATCGCTCATTATCAGGTATTCCAAAAGATGAGTAGCGTGAGTTTAGATGTGTGAGTGGCCTAGAAAACCTCAACTTGCAAAAGTTAGGCCACTATGTAAAATGGCCTAAATCACGTCAAGTGCTTGCTAGATCATTTCTAGGTTATTCAGCATGGTGGCCTGACTCANACTGGCATTGATCGTTGTGCACCCTTTCGGTAGAATGCATACTCTAGCTACAAAAAAACTACGAAAAATCTCCTGTCCCCCAACCTTTAATCAAAAAGAAAAATAGGAAAAAAATCCAACAGAAATCACTCACTGTATGGCAACCAGTTGCTGGGCGCTCTGAAATTCTTCATTCTCAAATAACCCCTCGAATACGATCTTACGTTAGACTCTAAATCCGAATCGGGAGGTTCTACACTCA